TACCTCCCTCGGTTCCGAGATGAGCCTTTCCTCAGTGCCGAGAGGTCCCCCGTCCTGGACGCTTCCTCTACTCCAGGATAAGCTATTGACGTACAGGTCATTAGCCTAGGCTAGTCTAGGCTATTCATCATGACCTCGTCTTACACAATTAATGTCAGAACATACTGGAACGCAGGGGCCACAGCCAATGGGGGATGGACGCGTGGCGTATGATATCACATCGAAGACAGAGAAACCGCATGTCGTTGCTGACACGCGACTTGGGAAAGCAAACGATTAATTACACCATTCCCTTGATGAGACCGCATTCAATGCGGTAAGGCTCGGAAATAAAAGGCAATAAATGCTCCTAATACAGAGCATTTATTGCATCATCCCCGAGAGGAGTACATTGTACCGTCGGCATCCCGATGACCCAGCATTGATTGCTCGGGACCCCGAGCAGTTAAGAAGAGAAGACATTCCTCATCAGAATCAGTGCGCACACTGCCTGTACCTAATGATCACCTACTGACTATACTGACAGCAATCATGAGCTTTTGAGGTATAAATACTCCTTACAAAAGGCAAGACGGGTATGCAACAAAAAACTCTTTACTACAATACACACTCAGTGTTTTCTCCTTCCTCTCTCTCTTTCTCTAAGACTGACTAGATCGTCGGAGGGGATACGCCGGAAAACACTCCGGCGCCCTTCTAACTTGTTCTTCTTTGTTTCAGGAACCTCTTTCAGCCTTACTGGATCGTTCTTCCGCTCCCCCAGGGTCTCCCGTTGCCATTCCAGGTTACCACCGGACCTCGCAGGCTGTTCCAAGTAGTGTGGTTGGTCACTCAACTGGTTCACTCAAGTTCACCAAGAGAGAGATATGTTCTCATTTTTTATATTGTGCAGGATCTTGCACGCACAGTTGAAAATACTCTAGAAAATAATATAGAATAATCTCCAATCACTTTTCTTTAATTTTGCCTCATATATTTGGAGAACTAAATGCGACTTTCTTTGATAAGAAAAGAGTCACTAAAACATTTTTCCCCAAAAAACAGGAAGAAAGACCGAAACCTTTGAAAGGATCTTTCTAGTTAATGCTTTATTTTGAAGTTGCACTATTGATCATGAGCCCCCAAACATAAGTAATTAAGAAACATATGTACCTGTAATAGCATAGCAATAAAACATAAAAATAAATTAATTAATAATGAAAAGAAATAGGCTAGCATTCTATACCGATGAAACATATGGTTTAAAGCTAATTTGCATAAATTAATTTGTTCTTAAGTTAATCAAGTGAGAATACCAAAACTTCTATTTTATGACATATGCATTACAAGTTTATCGAACAACGTAGGTGCAATTTTGCTAGGCATATCATCAAAAAAACATATACACAGTGTATAAAAGACATTTTTCTCTCTAAGATTAGAGATAAGAGGTAACCCAAGGAGATGGGTGGTAAAACGATTGACGTCTTCTTCCTGATTGTAACAAGAGCTCTTTGACCTTCTGCAAGCTTACTGGAATAATAGTCTTCTCATTGATCAACTTGCACACCAAATAAATGTTTGATGTCAACTCGTACCAATGAGAATTGATGATGAACCATTTCGTTACAATGACATGGAAGGGGGTGTAATAGGAGAATGAGAGATTTCAATTAGTCAATGCTTTGATTTGTTTACTCTAAGAGGTTTATAACTCTCAGGTTTCCTTCCTTCGTGTCGGTGCAACCCACAAGACTAATTTAAGATTACTATCTTTTGGATTGTCTCACTTAAAAATCAGCCACTTGAAAACTCAATTAAGTAATTAAACTATGTCGGAAACACTAATTTTTAATAGGTTAATAAAAAATTATTACAAAAATCTATATTGTACTTTTATATTCTTAAGGGTAATTAGTATTGTTTATACTATTAATGCACCACGTGCGTTTTACGTGAATAATTTTTTATATAAAAAATATTAAAATATATTATATATATGTTTGAATTAAATTTACCAAACTTAATTTTTCATAGCTCATATTTTATTTTAGGATTATGAAAAATTTGTATGTTCATAAAATTATTTATTAAAGTTCTATTTTTTTTTAGAAATTTTTGCTTGAGATTAATTTTTTAGTGATGTTTGAGAAATTAATTATTTTGAAATTCATTTGATTAAGATTCCAGTTCTTTGAATAAAATAAAAGTAATTGTCAATACACTAACTATTTTGGAACCTTACTATAATTAGGAATTAGTTAAGTGCATTGAAATAAAATTTAGTATACTACTCTATAATATATATTATCAAGTATGATAAAATTTTAAAAAATTCAAGTTTTTACTTAAAAATACAACAATCTATTTTACATAAAATATTAATATAGCTTAGAAAGAATTATACCGGTGTAACATAAATTGATTTCAAAAAATTATATATACAATTATTTTTTATCTTAAACATCTCAATGAAAAAAAAAAAAAATTGAGATATGTAGGCATTATAATAAAACAAAGATAACCTCGTCAGAGTCCGTCTATGTGTTTTACCCCTTTCAAAATATATGTTAGTGCAATCTACAATCCTACAGTTTTTGTTTTTTCTGGTGTCTGATATTTTCACGTACTCTATGTGTTACCGTGTGTGATTCTTTTGTATCTTTATTTTCTATTTTTCTGATGCCAAACTCTAAACCTTGACATAGGGAAATTAATGAGTAAATTATATTTTACCCTCATGAATTATTATCTTTATTTTATTTTGCACTCTTAACTATAAAATTTCTAATATTATACCCTAAAATATTAATTTTATTTCATATAACCATAATAAATAATGACAAAGTTAAAAATCTTTCAAAGGAGGGAGGGAAACCCCAAAGAGAGCTGCCCACGAAGTTCCTTGTACCACTTAATTTTACCTTTTTGGCAAATTGAATGGTTGTTTTGAAGAAAAATAAGGTGAGTCAGAAGAAAAAAATTTGGAATTTAAAAATGACAAAATCGTAGATATCGATTTTTTTCTTGATTTCTTACCTACATATGTGTAATAGGTAGTTGTTTATTGGCAGTACATAATACTCACATGCGCATTTACAGTAAAAAAATTAACATTCGTTATCAATTAGAGTAATATGAAACAAAATTAATACTTTGAAGTGTAATGTAAGAAATTTTATAGTTGAGAGTGAAAAGTAATATAAGAATAATAATTCAAGACTGTAAAATATAATTTACCAGAAATTAACTCCAAACAATTAGCTTGGGATAGTTGTGTTCCACACCCAAAAATCCAAGCCCATGATTTGCTCAAAAAATGCCATACCATTATCCATAAGCTGTAAGATCAATCAGCTAAAGATGCCTCAGTAGGGGTCAGGTGGACCACCTGCTTTTGATTATAGAAAAATATTAGTTAAAGTGTCCCTAAAACGGTTCAAATATCTTTTACCGTTTAACCCAAAAAAAACAGTTTAATTTCATTGGACAACTTGTGATCAGTGTAACCTGCTAGACCTATACCTTGAAATAGAGTTAATTTTGGGTTGAGTTCACACGGTTTTAAAACACGTGCTAGAATGAAAATTGAAAGCTTAACTCTCACGTCACTAAGCAATGTAGACTAGACTTGGTAATCACAATTAGAGTCGCATCCGTTTATAGTCCAACTAGAGAACTTCAATTATTGAGATCCTGGCTAGGGGTTTTTTGGCACTACTTTGCTTTACCGGTAAAAAATATGATTTTTTTTCTTTTTATTCGATATTTTGGAGTTTTTTTTTTTGTCCTGTTCTACCCGATCAAGTATAGTATTTTTATTCGACTTCCATCCAAATTAATCGGATAGAAAGTCGAATAGGAAATCAGATGAACACGTTTTGTATTTATTAATTTTTAAATCATTTTAACAACTCAATTAAGTAACTGCACCAATTTAACAACACAATAAACCAATAACATTAAAACTTAAAACAATTACAATAAAATACAAGAAAACTTAAGGTATAAACATCAATCCATCATAATTGTTACACAAATACAATAACAACTATTTTAAATTTAAATTATATGAAACATATCAAAATCATAACTGCTCACATATATATATATATATATATATATATATGTGTGTGTGTGTGGGGGAGGGAGGGGTAAGGTAGGATAGGAATACAAAAATTTAATAAGCATTTCGTATTTTTATTCCATTTTTTCGATTAACCAACCAATAGAGTTAGGTAGAATCAGATACAATAAAAAATTATGAATAATCAAAAATTTAAACACCAAATGGTGGCCCATTGAAGTTGTGGGGCATGTATTTATAATTCATTATCTTGGGCCATGCCTTATCTCTTTCTGTTTCTATCAGGGTAACATTGTTTACTCTTACTTGGACCCTTTTGTGTTCTTCAAAAACATTACTTTTTTTCAGCACCAGCAGCAACCAGACTTCACCTTCAAGGGCAGAGAGTTGAGCCTGGATTATGCACCTTTGATATGGGCCATATGACAATTTCATTCCTTTGACTGAAAATTGCAAGGATTCTTGAGTTTGTCCTTTGGCTGAATTGTAATGTGTAATTCTTCTTTCTCTAATGCTAAAAGAAAGACGTGTTACCGCTTCCAATTTTCCCAAAGCCTGTCTTGTTCTTCCTTGTAATTTTATCTTTTTTTTTGGTTCAAATATAAAAAATGTCTAAATTAAAAATAAGTCATGAAAGATAAATCACTTATTACTTAACCCTAAAAATTTGCTGAAATACAAACTCAAAATACCTAAATTTATAACTCGTTGTCCGTTATCATCGGAGTACTTGGACTCTTCCTCCTAGTTTTATCAACAAAATGATTTTATCATTATCTCAAATTTGTGACCAAATGAACCTTTAACTATGCTCTTTGTTGAAAATACAGTTGAGACCCAGAGGCCCTATCAAAAGGATAGAGCTCAGGTTTTATAAATATCTCAATTTTGCTAAAAATAATAAAAAAAAAAGCCTTATTCCAAGAACCTTTTAGCAGATCTGCATTCTGTGAAATTGTTCAAGGCATTAATGAGCCTCAAAAAATCTTTGAAAAAAAAACCCAGCATAAGATTGAAATCAGATTCAACCAAAACATGTTCAATTGCTTCCAGTCACTGGAGATCATACAGGAGTTTGCTATTGAAAACAGAGAGATGTATAACAACAAAGCTTTTCATAACTGATATAATCCATGCTTATCTTGTTGTTGGCTGTGGTCGTCACCGTCCGGGTTCGATTCGTAGAAACAGTTTCTTGGAGTCAGATCCCTTTTTTTTCTGGATACCAAAATCATTAGGTGCCCATTACATAATCCTCACCAAACAAGTACATCATCCTCTCCTTCCTCCATGAATCTCCTCCACACTGTTGGTCCTCTCCCTTATCAGGCAATATCTTAGATCTACACAAAGGGCAAGTGATTTGGCCTTCATCAATCCAACCATCAAGACACTCTCTATGATAAACATGAGCACAACCACAAAGCTCTCTGACCTCCTCACTTTCCTTGATACATCCCAAACACACAGCACACACTTCATCTTTTTTACATGCTCCTAATCTCTCAAGTAAGCAACTGTATTCGATAATTGGGAGTTGCTCCTTTACCAGTCCCACGATGAAATGGACCGGGACCGGCACCAACGACGGCGATGGCCGATCTTTAACTTCAGATTCAACCAAGTTTTGCTCATGTAAACATGCCCTCTTGAGTAAATGAATACAAGAGAGTAACATGGCGTGAAGGTGTTTGATAAAGTCTAAGAGAAGGTTGTCTAAGATTAACACTATGAAATTCAGAGTCTTGATGGTAAAAGAAGAAAAACCCATGATGTTAATTGAGTAGACAGAAGTGGTAGATGAGAGCGCCGGTGCTCTCCCAGTGTATATACCTTACATGGGGATTTGGGAATCAATCCAAGGGATGACAAGAAACATGTCACATCCAAGCAATAAAACAGGAGGGTGGTCCAATTAATCATTGGCCCAAGTTGAAAAAGTCAACGCTTAAACATAAAATTGAGAAAGTACAACTGTTTAGGAGAAGCCTATTATCGATTAAATGGATAATATATAACTTTGTTTTTGAATTTCTTTTATTTGTAATTTTTTTATTATGAGTTACTTTGTTCCTAAATATTTGTCGTTTAAAATTTATGCATAGATATTAAAAAAGTTATTAAATAACTCTAATATGAATAAAAAATAATTACACAAGATCAAAATACTTTTATTCAATACGTATTAGGGAGGAAAGAAATATGAAAGGTATTTAGTCTCCACCTAATCTAATGCATTAAAAAATTAAGGATAAATTTAAAAGAAAAAATATTAATTATGTTTCAGTTTCATCAAACAACAGATATTATGGAACAAAAAAAATTATGTAAAACGACAAATATTTAAGAATTAAGGGAATATAATTTGACTTTTAAAAATTATAACTTTGTGTTATCAATTCTAATTTATTATGATCAATCATAATTTTTAAATGTTATAACTTACGCCTAAAAAAATTATAACTTAACCGTAAATAATTATAAATTTCGATACGTTACATCCTTCGGTATTGTAACCTTTTCCTTTTCAAGTTTGGTGGTTTATTTTTACAATATTTAAGGGTTAATATAATTTTTGAGAGTTATTTAAAAATTTTGATAATTACTTACAATAATTAAGAATTATTTATAATTTTTGGGGTTAGTTGTTATTGATCATAAAATTTTTAAGATCAATCCCAAATAAATTTTATGAGGGTTTATCATAGTCATATCGTATATCACTAATAAAATATTATATATTTTTTAAAAATAATTATTATATATATTTTTTAAAAATTGTGTCTTACTAATTAAGGTTGTAACTCGGACGGGTTGAGAGGTCAACCCTAGGTATATAATTTTTAACCCTAACCGTATTTTAACCTAAGGTACTCAACCCGAGTACTGCTCGAGTTTAATTCAAGCGAGATCGGGTTGAATTCGAGTTACTTAATTCGGGGTGATTTCGGGTTAAAAATTGGGTTAGACCTGGGTTACTTAATTTAGGTTAATTTTTTGAAGTACAAATTTGATTTTTTCAAGTATAGATCTAATTTTTCTAAGTGATTTGAGATGAAGGACAAGGTGTAGATAAAGAGAGATAGAGAGAATGAGAGAAAAATGAGCGACAAGTGAGAGAGGGAGACTAAGAGTTTAAGACGACTCAAACAAGTGACAATTAAAAGAGAGAGAAGTGACGAGTGAGAGAGGGATCTAAGAGTGATGCAGACACATGAGTGAATACTTGAAATGAAGTGAAAGTGTAGATTCTTAAAAATGAAGATAAATATTAATTCTAGTTAAATATATATATATTTTATGTATATTCGGGTTCAACCTAATTTTAATATTCGGGTTGAACCCGACTATCCGAGAACTCAATCCAAGGCTTGTCTAAATTCAATTCGGGTTGGAATTATTTTTGTCCAGACTCAACCCAAATATTAAAATTTTTAATCAAAATCTTATATTTTTTGGGATTGAATTCAAGTTGAATTTAAGTTGGCCGTCCAAATTGCATCTCCACTACTAATTGATTTAGTGGCCAATTTCTTATTGAATGTTCACATCATGTCAGACCAGCACATGATAGATGTTAAATGTATTCTAGAAGACCTTGGGTGGCCCTGTTTATTTCAAAAGAGGAAAAAAAAAAAATTGCTGTGGCTGTGGGCAGCATCAAGAAGGTTAGGTGAAAGTTTTGAATATTTAGTGTTAGGTTCAACTAATTTTCCAAATCTATTTACCATCTTTAGATTGTATTAAAAATAAGATGTGACCAGAGATAAGTTGTAAACTTATAATTTGAAATTTAACAAATTTTTAGGGTCAAATTATAAAAAATTTATTTTTTATAAATATCTTAATCTGGATATGAATGATTTACCGTCGATCAAACTAAAAAAAAAATTAATTAAAATATACATAAATTAGTCCGAGTATTTTTAACAGTTATAAAAAATGAAAAATTATTTCTAGAATCTTTTGCCGAAAAGACTGTCGCTTCACTAGCTGCCAAGTGGCACAATATTTCAAGTTTGGCAAAAGAGTCGCAGGTTGTTTGGGTCAAATTTTTAGAACGTTACGCCACTCAAGAATGTAAAAATCTATTACTATCTCATTTGATTGTTCGATCTAGCCTGTTGGCTGGAAGACTTAACTGGGCAAGTTTATCGATGAAGACGAGGATTTTGATTTGGATTTGAATCCAGAAAGCTCATGATCAAGACTCAACTTGCCTAATCCATGTGATATATCATCTTCAAAGAACCAAAATTAACCAGGTGTTGGGAAAATAGGCTTTCCCACAAGTGTAAATCAATGGAAGCAATATAAATAAAATAACAGAAAATAAATAAGCACACAAGATTTACGTGGTTCCCTCAAATAACTTGAGGTACATCCACGACGACCGGTAGGTCAGTTTCTTCCACTATCACCAAATCAGATTACAAAGTGGCCAAAAGGCATAAGCCTTACAAACACACCAAGGTGTAAATCACAAGAGGAAAATACCTCACAAAATAAGTGAACCAAATCTCCAAGAACAAACCGCAAGAAACCCAAATATCAAGTGAAGAAATATTACCCACTTGAAGAACAAATTTGCAGATTTTTCTGGCACCAAAAAGGAGAAGAAGAAGGCTGAATTTTTGTTGAACCAAAGACTGCTGAAAATATGTCTTCTTGCCAAACCAACTGAGAATAGATGAACCAAAGAAAAGGACAAAACTTATAGTCTTTGATGGCTGCCAAATTCCTTTTTAACTAGAAGACTCCAAATCAAGCCTTGGATAAGAGTCCTACACGGGTAAGCCACCAAAAAATTAGCAAATTGATGAGTCCCACAAAGGAGGGAAACCCAACACCAGGTTCGGATGGTATATTTAATTACTAGATTAAGTTTAATTATAGTATTGAAAATTTTTTTTTAACATTTTTTATTCAATTAAAATGTGACATCTATCAAGTATTTTTATTTTATTATTTCAATTATCTTTAAATCAAAATCAAAAATTAATTTTGGCTCTACTGGTTAGAAATAATATAAATTAAAAATTAAAAATCAATTTTATCCCTTATGACTACTCTAATTTTAACGTAGATGGCTTGCAGTTTTTCGCCATCTAGCCCCACCAGTGGGCATCCGAACATCTAGGCAGGGGAAGGGTGGCTTTTGGACAAGGTGCAAAAAATTCCACTCAGTTGTAGTGGAAAGCGATTGAAGCATTGCCAGTGAGTTGAGTGGGAAGGAGCTTTACTCCCCCGTAGAAAATTAGAGAACAATAAGTCTCTTAGTACCAATGGTTTCTCAATTCACTCATCAGCTAACAAGGCTGCCCACATGGCGTCTCCAGCAAGAATTTTCATCCATCTCTCTCCAAATTGGACCACTTTAGTTTTCTAATAGGAAGTAGGAATGGTAGTAGGCCAGAGAAATTAGTCTTCATTCCGTATACTTGCTTAAAAAAGATTTTTTCATATCCGATTTACCCTTATTCATGAGAGAAATTTTAATTCTCGTCCCTCTCCCATAAATAAATTCTAATTCATGTCCTCACCACAGATCTTCTAATAGTGAATCACGCCAAAGAACCCATTAAACCATGCCGGAGAAGCTTCAGCATTTCAAAAAAAATTTAAAAGAGTCCAAAGGTGGGTGGGGTCCCTAGTCCAGTAAACATATCTTCAACCTTGTAGGGACCGACTCCATCAATCACACCATTCCATAACGTTCTATTTGGTTAGAAAGAAAAAAAATGGTAGAAATCGAAAATGATAGTAAGTGAAGTGATGTGAAAGAAACGAAAATGGTAAAAAATATATTTTCATGCATGAATTTGGTTAGAATTAAAAATTTACGGGAAAATTTTAAAACAATTTCATTCTATTGTTTGAAAAAAAAAAAGTAAAGTTATAAGAATTTTTTTATAATTTTTTAAATTATCCTTAATTATATTAAAATGGTCTAAAAATGAAAAAAAAAATATGTATAAGACAATTATCAACACAAAGGCCTTTGGGCCAAATTATGTGATTAATTAAATGCATACCAGAAATTTTTAAAATTAATAACCAATAAGATATTTAAGAAAAATAAGGGCAAAATGAGAAGTTAGGTATAGATCACAATTTTCTTATGTTTTTTAGAAGAAAAAAAATTGGTTATTTGTGAGAAAATTCAAGAATGAAAGAAAATTATTTTTTCTATAATTTTCTTTTTCATGCTAACCAAACACATGAAAATGTTAAAGAATTTCTTTTTCTTGCATTTTTTATCATTCTCTCACCAAACAAACGAATCTTAAGATTCCACTAATCCATATATAGATTAGGGTATTTCTAAATTTAAATTTGAGTCAAAATGACTTTTTTTTTTTTTTTAACTTTGAATTCAAACTTATACCAAATTAAGACAAAACTTAGGTATTATTTGATAAAATTGAAAATTAAACACTAAAACTGAATACCAAATTTTAAGTATTGAATGTTGAATTGATTAATTTGAAATCTGTTTGGTATGCACTAAAATGTAAATACTGAATTGAATTGAATTATATTGTTTGATCAATATAATACGCTGAAGTCTGAAATATATTAAATTTTCAATTTTACCCACCACTCTTTTATTTTGAAATTCTTTGTCTAACATATTTTCACTTGATAACCACTATTATCACATCATATTTTTAATTACCCAAAAATGATCATGAAATTAATTCAAGTTTAATTAATGGTTGTTGCCCGACGCATATGGGATTAATTCCAATTCTATTAATCGATTGTAGAATCAAGATATTATTGTTGTTGTAATTGAGTTCCTTGCATTTTTGTGGAATGAAATTTCTTTGGGACCAAAAGCCAAACAACTAGAAT